CTCTCTCTCTCTCTCTCTCTCGCTCTATCTATCTATCTATCTATCTATCTATCTCTCTCCTTCGATCTATCTCTTCTCTTATTTTGAATAGTCTTCTCCTTTGTCGTTTGCTCGTTGTCTTTTCGAATATAGTTTTAGTAATTCAAGCATTTTTATTGGCCTTAATAATGATTCGTTTTGCTTACGTTTTAATTTATATTTCCGATACTTATTGTTCCAATAAGTATAACCAGGATACATTATATTCATGGTATTTTTTTATTGTTTTAAAAATATAAACAGGATACATTTAGTTAGTTAGTTATAGTAAGAGTTGTACGGCACTTGCAACACAATAAGGTCATATAAGTGCCGAAGATTAGAGGTGTTACAAGAGAGTAACAAACACAAAAAAGGAGGAGAGATTTAATAAGGATGATAGATGTATGATAGGAAAGAAGAAGCAGACACCAGAGCACCCGCCAACCACCCACACAGGATACATATCTCCTTTACACACGATCAAGATACATTTCTCCCAGCAAGGCATTTAAAGATTGTCATTGTCAAAATAATGTTCTCGGGCTCAGGTAATAAAATTTATGTAAGTGTATATAATATAATTTACTCATCTATACAAGTAAACAAAATACAATATTGTATCTTTACCCACACACACACACACACCATACACATACACACGCGTATCCAAATACACACTCACACAACAACATACAACATACACACACACACACACACACACACACACACACACATACACACACACACACACACACACACAAAAGATGGCGTAACACAGACAAAAACAACAGAAGGAAATTTATTATTTTTAAAAAGAAGGATATACCAGTACCAGTGGTACCCTCCAACCATCCGCACGGGGTAGTCTTAGTCTTAGTAAGAGTTTTACGGCATTTGCAACACATTAAGGTCATATATATATATATAAGTGCCGAAGATTAGAGGTGTTTCAAGAGAGTAACAAACACAAAAAAGAAAGAGGGGAGATAGAGATAATATATTTTTTATAGGAAAGAAGAAGAAGCAAACCACACCAGAGCACCCACCAACCACCCACACACGGAGGTAGATTGAGGATAGAGCGCGCTATGGTTATGGTCACGCTACACTGAACACAGGGTCAACGTCATCCGAGCGGTACATGGACATACTCAAACGGATACACATACGGATACACACAAACACACAGGGATACACACAGATACACACATACACATACACACTCACGCGCGCTCTAGCGCACACACACAAACAAACAAACGTACACATATAGTATACACGTTCATAGAATAGAAAGAGACAGAGAGAGACAGAAAGAGAGATGTAGACACACACACAGAGAGAGA